CTCTCCTTTAATGTTTAAATACTTTTCATGTTTAAATCCTTTAATGTGCAGATTTCTGTCGTCCTGTAGGTCCTCTAGTGTCGCTGTTTGTTTAACTTCCAGTCATTTTTAAAATTAAAATAAACTATTTTACTCTTTTGTTTGTATTTTTTTTAACTGTTTGTTTGCTCCACATTAAAATTTGTCATAGTTTCAGTTGACATATGTAATTTATTATTATTTATGGTGAAAATAGAAGTGACGCTAACTGACCTTCAGATTAAACACGAGACATTTCATATTCATCATATATTATCAATCAGCTTATCGGAGCAGTGTATACTTTAAATTTGAGTTTTATACACTGATTTGATTGTTAAAGTTATGTTTATTCAGTGTTATTAAAACACATGCAGCAACATTTTCCTAATTTTCTTTTAATATTAGAGAAGTCAATTAGAGATGCACCAAATATTCGTCACCATCCAAATCTGCTCTGACCAGCTATAGACAGACATCAATATAATGATAATATATCAATAGAAAAACAAACATATCTATAAGATATATTGATGATAAGAAGCTGAACACATCCAACAGTTTTTATAGTTTTAATAGGAATCAATAGAGAAATAGTACTTCTTTATTAAATCTAAAACATATAATATAATGTAATTATATGATATTCATGCATTTTTTAGGTTCCTCAAATTAATAAATTTATGTTTCTCTGCATTTAACAAACAATTTGTGGACAGAAAACGAGATGTTTTGTTCTTATCTTGGTATGAAAGCTCTCGAATGCTCGTAAAATATTCTTCAAAAGTAAGTAAAATAAAAACAACTAATAGAGAAAACAAATGTGTTGGAAGTATTTCTTTCCTTAAAACATCAAACAAAGCAGTTTTTTCTTAAAAGTCTGAAACCTTACATCGGCGTTTACTATAGCTCACAGTCTGTATGTATCTGTACTCTGGGGGCAGGGCTTAAACAGGAAGTTATTGATCATTGATACGAGTCGATGAGAAGTTGCCACATTTTTAAGAAAACTACAGAATTAAACTTCAGAGCTGTTTTTAATAACAAGATTAACAGAAATATTTACAGAAGTTGCTATATTTAGAAATAAAGACACATTTCTCTTGTTTGATACTCGTACTTCTGTATCAATCGCTCACTGCTCATTAAAAGACATGAATCTCCAACTTATCGTAGGGTCACTTCCTGTTACCGCCACCTGTAGATCAGTGGAATAATGTAAAACCATTGGCAGTCTCACCTGTGCTCGCAGAAGTGAGTATGCTCTTATTCTTTAAGATGTCGGTGCAGTAAAGAATAAACGTTAAAACAACTTTTACATATTTAGCTCACCAACAAAAATAGGCCAGCAGTGTTTTGCACATTTAATCATTTAACTGCTGCTTGACTTCAGGCGGTGAGGATCGTTATGAAACGAACAGACAGGTGAGAGAACGACCTAATTATACATTTTGAGTTAAGTATTCCTGATACTTGAAAACTGGACAACTATATAATGGTGCGTTCTTTTTGTCCA